ACTGGCTGGCTCAGGGGGGCAGGGAATGGGGCCCGGGGCCTTTCCCCTCTAGGGGCACCGGCTCCCATCCGGCCCCAGGGCAGGGACTGGCTGGCTCAGGGGGGCAGGGAATGGGGCCCGGGGCCTTTCCCCTCTAGGGGCACCGGCTCCCATCCGGCCCCAGGGCAGGGACTGGCTGGCTCAGGGGGGCAGGGAATGGGGTACGGGGCCTCTCCCCTCCAGGGGGCGCCGACCCCAATCCAGCCAGTCCCAGGCCTGTTTAACAGCCCCGGGTGTGACATGAGTTTGTTCGGTCTCAGCAAGCCGGAGGGAGAGGGCGGGCCGACCAATCCATGGACAATGCGCCCCCTTCCCCCCACAGGGGGAGCTCCATCGGGAAATGGGGCCCCTTGGTGATGGGGGAGGGTTGAGCGTCTGGGAGGGGCTGTACTGACTATGGAGCTGACTAATCCACCCCTCCCTTGTCATCCCCAGATCTAACCCCCTAGTGCCGGCCCTAGGATGCTGGGCCCCATAGCCTGCCCTGCCGGTAACGCCCTGAGCCCCGCCCCCGTCCCTGCCCTGCGGATCAGCCCCACGGGGTTAATCTGCCCGATACCGAGCTTCCCTGTGGGCTGCTCAGAGAAATACCCCCATGCCCACCTGCCCAGCTGGCAGACGATTGTGGGCATGGGCTGGGGGTGGGGGCGGGACGACAGCCATGCAGCCAAGCTTATCCCCCCAGCTCCTGGTCTCGCCCCTTGGCATTGCCTGTGTTCCCAGTGGGAGGCAGGAGGGCAGGGGAGGCACTCAGTGGGTTAACAGCCTGTGGGGCAGGGGATGCGCCAGGGTCAGTGGGTACCAGGGGCCCCCCTCCACCCCAAGGATGTCCAAGCCCCTGGCAGAGACCGCCCCCCCTCCCGACTCAGCTCAGCGTCTTTGGAGGAGAAACTGCTGGTGCTGGAGCAGCTGGGGGGGGGGTGGGGATCTGGGCTGCTGGGGGGCAGGAGGGGGTGGGCAGCGATATGGGGGATACCCCAGACACACACCCTGTGCATGCCCCTAATGCGGGCACAGACACAGTACATACGGCTGTGGGGAGACAGCGCCCCGCCCCCTCCCTGCAGCCCAGAACCCCCTGCCGAGCCCCTGCCCCGCCCCCTGCAGCCCAGAGTCCCCTGCCAAGCACCCCGCCCCACCCCCTGCAGCCCAGCACCCCCTGCTGAATCCCCCACCCAAGCCCCCTGCAGCCCAGCGCCCCCTGCTGAGCCCCCCGCCCCGCCCCCCTCGCAGCACTGCACCCCCCTGCTGAGCCCCCCGCCCCC